TATAGGGCATGTGCACTCGCCAGACAGACAGAGAGAGACATAGAGACAGAAAGCGAGAAATCACCCCCCAGGGGGGATGGTCACGCTGCAATCCCTTCTCCTCCATGGATCTTGGGCACGTACTCACACGTGCCTGGCGTGAGTTTTAAGTCACCAGGTCCGGGACATAAACTGTGGTCGACTACATGGGAGTCCAGCGACATAGCCATTACGCTAACTGCTGGTTCCCCCTAGCATGTTTTTCAAGTTGCCAGGATTATGATTTGAATTATGTTGGGTCCCTATGCTACTGACTGGCTCTCCCTGCTTTTTACCTTTTGTTTAGGTTTTTGTCATAGGGTGTGTACACTAGCAGGAGAGGGGGGAGGGGGTAAGAAGTTATCCCATATGGGGGCAGCCAAGTCACAATTCCTGCTCCATTCTTCTGCGATTTTGTGCATGCACACAAGTTGCCAGATCTGGGACTTGAACTTTGTTCAACAATAGCACCTTAATCACAATGCCACCTGCTGGCCCCATCTTCTTGTTTAAAATTTTGAGAGATTTTTGTTATAGGGCATGTGTACTTGTCAGAGAGACATAGAGAAAGAAAGTGAGAAATCACCCCTTGGGAGGATGGCCACATTACAATCCCTTCTCCTCCATTATTTTCTTGGAATTTTGGGCACGCATGCACACGAGCCTGACTTGAGTTTTAAGACGTGGAGTCTGGGACCTGAACTGTGGTTGGCCATGTGGGCAGTCTAGAGCTCACTACGCTACCTGCTGGCTCCTGGCCTCCCTCTTCTTTTCTTAAAGATCAATCTAAGACTCAGATACTGAAAATAGTAAAATTACTGTTTAGCCCATGAAAGTTATTTTAATAATTTTTCTAGACAAGGTCTTACTATGTTGTCATTCTCCTGCCTCAGCCTCTCAAGTAAACGGGATTACAGGTGGCACCATGCCTAGATCTTTCAGAGGGTCTCATTTTGTTGCCCACATGGCTGTAAGCATGTGGTCCTTCTGCATATCTCCTGATGAGCTGGACTTCAGTGGTGTGCCACCATGCCTGGCTTTTAGTGTGGGCAGGAATTGAACTGGGCCTCCTAAGTGGCCTCGGTTTGCTGAACAGCATTATCTACTGAGAGAGGCCTGAAACACAACTCTTTTCATAAGCCATGTATCGGTAATCTAAAGATGGATGCTCTTCTCTCAAGGATAAAGTATCAATTTAAAAAAAAGTTTACATATGCAATAACCTATTGAGCCCATACTATTAACTCAACAGGGTTTGAGTAAATCAATGACTTTTTAAAATGTGCTAAAGGGTGTGCAAACTCATTGGAGAGAGAGAGAGAGAGAGAGAGAGAGAGAGAGAAGGAAAGCAAGAAATCACCTCTCCCCCATGGGAGGTGGGTGCCGCAATCCCCTCTCCTCTGTGTCTCCTTTAGGGATTCTGGTCATGTATGAGCCCACTGGGTCCAGGACTCGAACCAGGCAGTTAGCCATGTGAGATCCAGATGCCTAACTACCACACCACCTGCTGGCCCAAGAATATGAATTAATATTATAAAATGTACCAACGCCCTCAGGAAAAATTCTACACTAACGTAACTTATTAGGCTAGCTAGAACATAGTGCTTTAAGAGCACGCTACAGTTCTTGTGTGTATGTACGTGATTATAATAACATGCAGATACTATAAATATTCATACAACATGAATCTCAGGGCTATGTTAAATATAGCAAACAGAAACTGTGTAAGAAAAAGCAAGAATTAAAACCCAGTGTTTAGGGGCCAGCAGGTGGCATGGTGGTTAGGGTGCGTGACTTTCATATGGCTGGCCAAGATTCAAGTCCTGGACCTGGAGGCTTGCTTTCTCATCTTCTCTCTCTCAAGCACACATGCCCTGTAGCAAATTTAAATGATAACAAGAAATTAAATAATTCTTTAAAATACAATACAAAACAAAAAACCAGTGTTTATTAGGATGAAGTACCTCTGGGTGGAGTAAGTTCAATCATGTTAATTTCACAGAAACCCACAGGGAAAATAGAAGGAGAGGTTGCATGATAACAGAACCAGTCAGATCCATCTGCTGCTTCTGAGCCGTCGATCCCGATCATCAGGAATCCATCAGCCAGCACCTTTCAAATTAAAGAGAGTCCATGTATTTGAAATTAGGTACCATTTCTGTAAAAATGGTAACTTTACAAGACATTCAAAGGAAAGGAAAATTATAAAGGTCCCTTAACGGTGAAAAACACTTCTCTCTCTCTGTGCAATTATGTTAAATAATGGAAGCTGTAGTGGGAAAGCCTATGCAAATTCTAGGATGTACCAGAAACAAAAGCAGGAGTACACAGAAATTAGTTTAGAGATCTGGGAAGAACAGTGTCTTTGTCAAGAGCTAAAGCTGCCTACTCTTCTGACATGAAATCAGGTTGAGGGCTCTTTTACGATTCACTTATCTAATTTCAGCTAGGCTCTAAACCTCCTCAGAATATCCTTACTTCTTTCCCTCTGATTTATCACATAGGAGTTTTCCCAAACCTCCACCTTCTTCAAGCTCCAACCTGATCTCTTTTATGCTAGTGATAACCATGCTCCTCTCTGGCAGTAAAGCTGGCCCATGCAAGGTTCTCTTACTCGTTTTCTTTGACTTAGATTGTTGGAACAAGTATGCTTCTTTTTTTTTATTTGGAGAGATTTTCGCTATAGGGCGTGTGTGCTCGCCAGCCAGCCAGAGACAGACAGAGAGACAGAAAGTGAGAAATCACCCCGCAGGGGGAATGGTCACACTGCAATCCCTTCTCCTCCCTTCTCCTCTCGGGATCTTGGGCATGCACGCACACGTGTCCGGCATGAGTTTTAAGCCACTGGGTCCGGGATGCGAACTGCGGTCGACTGCGTGGGAGTCCAGCAACATAGCCATTACGCCAACTGCTGGTTCCCGGAACAAATATGCTTTACCCTCACTTTTTTGTTTTAAGATTCATTTACTTACTTATTTTAATTTGACCAGAGAGGGGCAGAGAGAGAGAGAGAGAGAGAGAGAGAGAGAGAGAAGGAAAGTGACAAAGCATGCCGCCAGGTCTAAGACTTGAACTGCAGTCAGCCATGTGGGAGTCTAGGGTCCTTAACCGCTATGACACCTGCCGGCCCCCTTATCCCCCACTTTTAAACCAAGACAAATTCTCCATCTGCCGTATTATCATTGGGACCTTTTTCTTCATTTCTCCCTCCTTTTGGGATTCTGAACATGCATACATATGTGCCTGGGGTGTTTTAAGGCTGCTTGGTCTGGGACTCAAACCACATCTAGGAACCCAATGCCTTAACCACCACACCACTGGCTGGCCCTCACTTTCAACCCTTACATTTCTAATTTTAGTGCTTTTCTTTGTGTGTTGATGACCTCAAGCATGCCCAGTGCTTTAATGATCAGTTTCTATGTCAGTGATTACTAAAATTTTATGAGTCTGTCTCCCTTCTGGTGCCTCAGATCTGGATACTGGGATGGTTTCTCTGAGAGTAAGTATAGAGAATCAAACCCCAAACTCCTCTTCCTCCTTCAGAGGTAATCAATCACCGAGCCCCAGGACTCCACTTCAAACACTCAGTTCTTTCTCCATCCACTTTTTTGAGTGGTTTTTGCTATAGGGCACATGCACTTGCCAGAAAGACACAGAGAAACAGAAAGTGAGAAATCACCCTGCAGGGGGATGGTCATGCCACAATCCCTTCTCTTCCATTCTCTTCTCGGGATCCTGGGCACGTACGCACACGCACCCAGTGTGAATTTAAGCCACTGGGTCTGGGACTGGAACCATGGTCGACTACATGGGAGTCCAGCAACATAGCCATTACACCAATTGCTGGTCCCTATTTTTTTTTAGGTTCCCCAAGAATTCTGATACTTACTGAGAACCATTCTTTTTTTTTTTTTTAGAGGTTTTTTTTTACTATACGGCGCATGCGCTCGCCAGACAGACAGAGAGAGACATAGAGACAGAAAGTGAGAAATCACCCCCCAGGGGGGATGGTCATGCCGCAATCCCTTCTCCTCCCGGGATCTTGGGCACGCACGCACACGGGCCCGGTGTGAGTTTTAAGCCACCGGGTCCGGGACGCGAACCGCGGTCGACTACGTGGGAGCCCAGCGACATAGCCATTACGCTAACTGCTGGTCTGAGAACCATTCTTATAAATTTTTTCATAAGGGCAATTTCACATGACAGGGAAAAGATTTAAGAAGAAATAAAGTACTACCAAGAGGAAGAAAAATATGGAAAAGAAACTGAAGGTAAACTAGACCTTACTACTGGGTTGTCGGAGAAGTCATGACGTATTTTAACACAGAAAAAAATAGGTCATGACTTTCCTGACAACCCAATACAACTCTGTGTAGGACTAGCTTTGATCAGGAAACAAACATAAATAACTACTGCTCTTCTTTTATTTCTTTTATTTGTATTTTTATTTCAGAGAGATATTTTTGCCAAAGGGCATATGTGTTGCCAGACAGACAGAAAGCTAGACATCACCCCCTGGGGGGATGGCCACGCCACAATTCCTTCTCATTCATTCTCCCCTCGGGATTGTGGGCGCACACCCAAATGTGCCTGGCATTGAGTTTAAAGCTGTTGGGTCCAGGACTTGAACTGTGGTCGACTATAGAAATCCAGCGATGTAACCATTATGCCATCTGCTGGACACTCTTATTATTTTTTTAAAGCTTTTTTTATTTAAATTTATTATCATTATTATTGCTTTTTAAAAATTTACCACAGGGCATAAGTATTTACCAGAGACAGAGAAAGAGAAAGTGAGAAAGCAAGCCACCAGGTCAGGTACTCAAACTATAGTAGGCCAAGTAGAAGTCTAGCACTTTAACCACCATGCCATCTGCTGGCCCTACTATTTACTGCTCTTTTAACTTAGGGTGTACTTTCACAAATAAAGACAGCAGACTCAAAATGACAATTGTGACAACAAGCTATACATGAAAAAAGAAGACCTAATACAAGAATTAAAATTTTGATATTACTAGTATCCTCTTCCCCAGTGAAGATCAAGATGCACACACATTTTAGGTAAAAATGAATATAGTAGAAATCTCCTATTACTTTAAACCCAGTTCCGATACCTGCATTTCTATATTTTAAAACCTAACTTCTTACCTTTCGAATGGTTGCAACACATATTGTAGAAAGATTTAATGGGTCTATAGCTTCCAATTTCATTCCTTCCTTGAACCACTCCCCACTCTGGTCTACTTCTTTTACCTAAAGAATTATACGAAAGCACATTTACTGTTATAAATGTGGTCAAGTTTGTAATTAAAATATTACCAATTTGAAAAGGTTTACCAGATGCCTTCTCCTACCTACCTAATATTATAGCTTCCATTAGGGACTAGAGAGAATTCAGACAAATAGACAGAATTTAAGAGTACTTACAACAGAGTCTTGACACCTATGGATTATAAGGCCTTAATCCTTTTAAGTGAACATGTTATTGTGATTTCCCTAATTTTAGGAAAAAACCCACAACCCTCTTTCAAACCTAATTTACAAATGAGGGTTCTTATAAAAACTTCTTACCTTAGCAAATAAATGTGGTGGTGTATCAAAATGTCCATCCTGTTTCTTTGTAATATCTACAAGGAAAAGTTACATACTAATCTGTCAGCATTTGTGAGAAGACCAAAAACCACGTTTCTTTGAAGGCTTCAAACTCACAAGGTATGGAATACTCTAAAACATGGCAAAAAGACATGCCTTCCACATTGATTGTGAATATAATATTCTTTAATATCTTTTCTCTCTTCAGAGTACATGTGCATATTCTATTAAATACATTCAGCCAATAGAATGCTGGTAATTTCCTAGTTAGGGAATTACACTTTAGAAGCATGTATTAATGTGTTCAGTATTAAGTCTAACCACATTTTATCTTGCTATTTTGAGTAAAACTGAACGGAAGGAGAAAGGCTATCTTTAGATCTTTCAAGTGGGCTACACAAGAGTGTAAGAAAACTGTAGTTGTGACCAAAATGCATTATTTTTTAACTGAGAGCAAGAGGGTGAAATATAAAAGAATTAGTTAGGACACTAATATGGAGTGAACCTTCACTAAAGTATGAATAAGAAGCCCAAATAACTAAACTGCTATTTTTGATCTACACCATTCTGTAGAGAAAAAGAACCATGTAGTGTGATTTAGCCTCAACGATCCCTTTACCAGGCATTCTTGTGACAGGTGCTTACCAGATCTTTTGAATCGATGGCCTATGCTTCTGGACCAACCGATGTGATGGATTAACGGGCTGTGCATGTGGCACCAGAAGTCATCTGTTCTATCTTCACTCTCTTCATACACTAGTCGTAATCTTCCTCCAATGACACTTTCCACCACTGCCACTCTCGTTCGACACAAATGCCTCTTGTCAACTACTTCTACTCTCATGCAAGGTTTGAAAGGATACTGCATGCTCTCTGAAACCTTCAAACAAAGCAAATGAAACATGTTCAGAATTCATGACTAAGGTTTTTAAGTCATTTTAATATTACACTGTTAAAAATACTGAATGTGGGGGCTGGAAGGTGGTATGGCGGTTGAGGTGTTGGACTCTCTCATGGCCAACCATGGTTTGAGTTCTGGACATGGTGGCTTGCTTTCTCTCTTTCTACCTTTCCTCCTCACTGTCTCTCTCTGGTGAGAGCATGTGCCCTATAGCAAATTAAAAAAATAATAAAATTAAAAAAAAAATTCTTGGCGCCAGCAGGTGGCATGGTGGTTAAAGCTGCTGGATTCTCACATGGCTGACCATGGTTTGAGCCCCAGACATGTCAAGTTGCTTTCTTGCTTTCTCTCTCTCTCTCTCTCTGGTCAAATTTAAAAATAATAGCAAATGGAGGTAAATGAATAATTATAAAAAAAAATTCTTAATAAAAAAAAACTGAATATGGGCCAGCCAGTAACATGGTGGTTAAGGTGGTTGGATCCCACATGGCCAACTGTGTGGTTTGACTGCTGGATTCAGTGTCTTGAAAACATGCTGGGTGCATGTGCATGTTTTCTCAAAATGCCAAAAGGAGAAAATGGAGGAGAAATGGATGCTGTGTGACCATCTACCACGAGTGGAGTGCTTTCTTACTTTTTTCCCTCTCTTTCTCTTGTGACTGCATACACTTTCCTTTTTTTTTTTTAAAAGAATTATTTTAACTTTATTTATCCAATCATTTATTTATTTTAATTTGACCAGAGAGGGATAGAGAGAGAGAAAGAGAGAGAAAGTGAGAAAGCAAGTCACCAGGTCTGGGACTGGAACCATAGATGGGTATGTGGGAGTCCAGCGCCCTTAACCAGCACGTCGCCTGTAGGCCCTGAGTGCATACACCTTTCTAACAAACAAAAAGGAATGTACTTGATATTTAACATACATTATCTGGTTTATAAAATTAAAACAATTCTTCAAACATCTTCGAAGTTACCCACCCCCACCTTTTCAAAAAGCTTTTTTAGACGTGTGTTTATTTCTACAGCATGAGTGACACAGACAGGGAGAGGCAGAATCTTCAACATGGTCTTGACTCTGCAAACGCCCCCTCCCGCTTCAGTCAGCCCTGGATCATGGGCATGTGTGTGCCTGATGTACTCAGAGTTCTCTGGATAAGAACGTGAAGTTACTCCTCCTTATCAGAGGCCTTCAGTCTTTCCTAACATTCTGCTTTTACCTTTTGCGAGAAATCAGGAGGAAGTGTTTTGGCACCAGTAAGTCGTTTCACTAGAAAAGCTTTCCAGTTTGTATACTTATGTTGAATAGCTAAAATAAAAGAAATAACCAGTTACACTTTAGCAAGAAAGTATAAATCACTTGTTAACAAATTTCCCTGTAAACCAGGATTATTAATTAAGGTGCTAAAAAGTAATAAAAATAGAGAAGAGTCAGCCTGTGGTCTGGTGGTTAAGACAGCTGGATCCGGGACAAGCAGTTAGTGTAATGGCTATGTCGCTGGACTCCCATGTAGTTGACCGCGGTTTGAGTCCCAGACCTGGTGACTTAAACTCACACCGGGTGTATGTGGGTGCGTGCCCAAGATCCCAAGAGGAGAAGGGATTGTGGCATGGCCATCCCCCAGGGGGTGATTTCTTATTTTCTGTCTCTCTGCCTTTCTGGTGAGCGTACCCGCACTAGGGCAAAAAACCTCTCAAAGACAGCTGGATCCCACACGGCCAAACCTTGTGGTTCAAGTTCCATGCCCAATAGCTTAAAAAAATACTCTACTGTGTGTGCATGCTCAAAATCCTGAAAGAGAGAGAAATAGAGCAGGAGGGATTGTGACATGACCATATGCCAAAGAGGCTGCTTTCTTGCTTTCATCCTCTCTATGGTGAAAGCAATACACACACTCTCTAACAAAATTTAAAAATAAATCAGAAAAAAAAAAAATCACACATAAAGTATAGTCTTCCCAGCAAAAATGTTACTTGACACCAAAAGTTATTTCAATTTCTGTATTTCCTTAATGTTACTATGAGCAAAACAGCATCACAGAACATATATTTAAAATTGTAGTATGGATAAATAAGGCTACTTACTTCTAGGAGGAACTAGAGGTTTTCCACTGGCTGCACACCAACCAACTGGGTGGATATCAGAACCACATATATTGCACCAGAAGTCCAGACCAGAGTCATTTTCAAATCCTTCATATCTTAAAAGGGCATTGTAACCTGAAACCAACCAACCAATCACTACATAAGAAAAACGCAACATCATGATACAGTACCAGGTAGTGGCTGTCAAGCGTTAGTGTGCATCTACAACATAACTCCCTCAGAGATTGACACACAGATGGCTGGGCTTGTGACAGAGGTCTTGCCTTTTTTTTTTTGGAGAGGTTTTCGCTATAGGGCACGTGCGCTCACCAGACAGAGAGAGACAGAGAGACAGAAAGCGAGAAATCACCCCCCAGGGGGGATGGCCACGCCGCAATCCCTTCTCTTCCATTCTCCTCTCGGGATCTTGGGCACGCACGCACACGCACCTGGCATGAGTTTTAAGCCACCAGGTCCGGGATGCAAACCGCAGTCGACTACGTGGGAGTCCAGCGACATAGCTATTACACTAACTGCTGGTCCCTTAGAGGTCCTGCTTTTGTCGATCTCAGGTGGGCCTGAGAAGGTACATTTCAAACATGTTATCAGGTGATATTGCTGCTGCTGGTCTACAGACCAAACTTGGTAATCATCTGCTCAATGTAATTTGTTCAACGTTTTCAGAACAAGGCTTCTTCCTTTGAATGTACTTCTATTTTACTCCTCAAATTCTAAAAAAAGTTCTCAGTGAAGGCACCAGCAGTTGGCCTAATGGCTATGTCTCTGGACTCCCATGCAGCCGACCACAGTTTGAGTCCGTGTGTGTGTGCATGTGTGCCCATGATACCGAGAGGAGAACGGTGGAGAAGGGACTGCACTGTGGCCATCCCCCTGGGAGGTGTTTTCTCGCTTTCTTTCTCTTTTTCTGGCGAGCGCATGTACCCTATAGCAAAAACCTCTCCAAAAAAAAATTTTTTTTTCAGTGAAAACAGGATTAGGATGGACCTACTAGAATAAGCAGTTCTGAAAAGAAAAGATAAGGTTGTGATAAGTTAGTGAAGTCACAGAAATCAGCTAAAGTATACTTCAAAGAAATTGCTTTATCCAGCTGATTAGGAGCCTAATACAAGTACTCTTGAATTTGGATGTGGCTGGGTTCAAATCTAAATTTTTCTGTCCTATTTAGTTGGCAATATTTGATAATGCTAGGTAAAAAGTTCAATAAACAAATAAAAGTATGTGAAATCACTTAAAAATTACATGTTCTGGGACCAGCAGGTGGTATAATGGTTATATTGCTGGATCCAAAGTAGTTGACTGCAGTTTGAGGACCCAGCAGCTTAAAACTCACATGTGGGCACATGTGTGTGTGTCCCCAAAAACCTGAGAGGAGAATGAAGAAGGGACTGTGGCATGGCCACCCCCCTTGGGGGGCTATTTCTCACCTCTGTCTCTGACTCTCTGGTGAGCACACGTGCCATATATATCTATAAATCTCTCTAAAAAAAGAAAAAAGTTATATGTTCTAGGCAAATAGGAAGCCTTATTTTTTTTGACAGAACAAAAAACATTTATCCTGTTCATAATTTTTTTTTTTTGATAAGTTTTTGCTACAGGGCACGTGTGCTCACCAGACAGACAGAGAGAGATAGAGACAGAAAGCGAGAAATCACTCCCTGGTGTATGGCCATGCCGCAATCCCTTCTCCTCCATTATCCTCTCAGGATCTTGGGCACGCACGCACCTGTGCCTGGCATGAGTTTAAGTCACCAGGTTCGGGACTCGAACTGTGGTCTACTACATGGGAGTCCAGTGACATAGCCATTACGCTAACTGCTAGTCCCCCTGTTTGTAATTTAACAAGGCTTATGTTGGTAACAGATTAATGTTTAATGTAAAGCCTTTAATAGTGGGGTAAAAAAGGGATAAAAACCACACTTGTATTTCAGACTAGGAGCTTAAGTTCAGTGAGAATTTTCCTGTATTAATAACTATGATGAAAATTTATAGCACTAGATCTTTAGATTTCAAATACAACAATTCACAGAACAATTTACGATGTGCTAATTATTGCTGAACTCTAGTTTCTGATTAACATTAGGTTAACTTACAAAATGGTATTAAAGTTGCTTAAAATAAGATATATAATGCAATGAAATAAAATAGAAATGTAAAAGCAATGATGAAGGCAGAAATAATTCTTCCATATTAAATGCACTGAGCGACTTGAAATGTAATAGAATTAAACACTTAGAACAGAAACAATCTGTTGTCTTAATTTACAGTGCAGAGAGCAACGTCAGTATTTAGAGAATGCATACCTAGCTGGGAAACTGTTTCAAGGAAAAAGTGGGAGATTGAACTGGGCAATACAGGGAGCACAGAACACGGGATACTCCTGCAGGGATGATCGAGGGCAGGTATGGTGTGAAGGAGAGTGAGACTGGCTTCACTAGGTCACTTATCCTGGGGAGCAACAAAAATGGCGGCCAGTGTGTGTGGTGCAACTCATCGGTAGCTGTCAATGCTTTGACCACCTTGATCCTTTAAGGACAAAGAGGTCTTAAAGGTACTTAAGCAGAAAAATGGAATTAGGATTATTTTTAGGTTAATTAAATCTATTTTGAGGAGAATGGCTACAGATAAAGACTAGAAAGAGGAGGATGAGTTAGACAGCTCTGACAAGTGGTAACTGAAGGATGACTGTACCTATCTCAGGGGCGGCCTCTCCTCTAAAGTGCCCTACCATACTATTCACTGAGTAACTTGGGTAACACCTGGTAGCTTCTGACATTTGGCAGGTGTGAGCTCACTGCAAAGAACAAATCTTAAACTTCTTTGTATCACTTCCCCACAGTGTCTAGCACAGTAGATTGGTAACACGCTGATTTTGTGAACGACAAATTCATAAGGGCTGAGGTAGGAGGAATGATGAGAAAGGAAGAATCCAAGATACATAAAGTTATCAACGTGTTTACTTCTGGTATTATGGACCTTATCATTTTTTTGTAGTACCGCAACTTTTATTACCTTTCAAAGTATTTCCCTATACTAGGCGTTGGCGAACTGCATTTTGGCCTATAGATCTGGCCTACTGTCTGACCTTTTTTATGGCCTGCAACCTAAGAAAGGCTTTTACAGCTTCAAGTGACTAAAAAGAAAAATCAAAGGAAGAGTAATACTTCATGATGTGCCAATTACATGAAATTCAAATTTCAGTGCCCAAACATAAAGGTCCTACCAGAACACAATCATGCCCATTTGCTTACGTGTTATTATGGCTGCTTTTGTGTTATAACAACAGAAATGAATATCTATGAGATCATGAGGCCCAGAAAGCTGAAAATATTTACCATCTGGCTTTCTACTGGAAAAAAACTGCCAACTTCTGCTCTATATCACAACATATTATTTATTTGGCAACACTTAAAAATTTATAAACATTTTTGTTATACTTCCAAAATATCATCGCCATTTTCTGGTAAATTACTATGCATGCTTTTCACCTGCTAACTTTACAATTCCAGCAATCCAGAAGACTTTGGTAGGAAGGCTGCAGTCTGTATTGGGAACTTCTACTCTTACGTTTTCTGAGATATCACCCCAGCAGGTCCCCATAGGTGCCTGTCACATAAAAATTATTAAATTATCATCTTATTAGCATAAAGCCTAAATATATCAATTAAAATTAAGCATTACCATCAACAATGGGAATATTAAATTAACAATGTCATTTTAATCTATTCATTTTTCTCTAGAACTATTGGTTCGTTGGGAAAGTCATGAAACATTTTTGCACAGAAAAATACATCGTTATTTTGCTGACAACCTAATACAATAATCATTATTCTCCCTTTCACGTAATTCTATTTGAAAAAATGGTCAAACTAAACATGAAGAGAGAATTAGTAAAAGATCTACGTTGACTTCAATATTCAGTACTAAATTAATACAAGGTGTAAGCAGCAATTATTCTAAAAACCAAATTATAAACCTGATAGCAGATTTCACATGATAAAGTTGATTTAAATAACGATTTTTAAAAAATATGTACTGAAATAAATGCACTTTACCCTAGCCTCTACTTTTAGAAGATCTAGCCAAAGAGCTAAGAGAAAGAAAAATAATTCCATTCAGCAATGTGGTTTCCAACAACACAAATAAGAGAAACAAAACTTAGTTACCTACATATTCAATTTAAGGTAAATTTATAATATAAATGTAACTATTAAGATGAACACAAGGGAAAAGCATTGGATAAAGTTATTAAAAAGACTGAGTCAAAGAGTTTTGGGTGATGAGTATCATGGCAAATTGTTAAGTAATTTATTATTTTAAAATTTCTCATGCAGAAATTAACTGTAAAGAGAAAACGCCAATGTTAGAACTGGCAATCAGTAGCCTCCATACCAAATAGCTAAGATGGGAACTCAGAAAACTGATTACATGAGGTACATGAAGGGAATTTTTCCAAAATCTGACATACATTCTCAAATTACTATTTTCCCTTACATTTTAATCTCTAAAGCCCAAGGCAATTTACAATTGTTTGGAGTTTATGTAATGGTAAAATTAAATCAGTATGTGAATTTAGGAATATAAATACTGATAACACTAAACAGTCTTTGTGGTCCTGGAGAATCAGTTCCTCATTAAATATAATTTAAAACCTTGACCATAAAGAAAAGGATTAAGTGAGGTTCTACAAGACCTGATAATATGAACAAACCAGGGAAAAACAAAACAGCCTCAAAGTTCAAAGATAAGCAAAGACATCTAAGAATTTCATGAAGTAGCTGATTTGAACACTGGGCAAACGTCTTCCATGTAAGGCCCCTCATACTTTGGTGAATGCCAGCCTGACAGGAGGATTAGCCTAAAACAATTCAGGCCTTATCCTCTCAATAGTTTATGGAATTTCTGATGGAGAGGAAGAGAATGTCAAATACTATAAACTAGGATAAGTCTAGAAACAAAGACAGAATCAATTAATGGCTATTGCTTTAGTAACAAGCAATGAATATATAACTCAATACATCTTGGAGATGTGGCCTATCTTAACTATTTGTGATTCTGGAAGGGTATGCCTAACTGTCTGCCTGAGTTGTGCAAAAATAATATACTCATATGACTACCTCTTTCTTCTTTTTTTTTTAAATCAAAAGACTGGATTCTTCAGGTTCTGCTATCTCCCCCTATATCATTCTAGACTGGAGGGCCATCCCTATTGCCAGCAGATCTGATCAGAAAAGGAGAAGCTGGAAGAAAGAGGTAATGTATTGCAGACTATGCTAACACATATTAATGCAAAGACCATGAATTCACTTTTGTGAAGATGAGCCAATTACAGCAGATAAATCCATGCATTCAACTGCATTAAATTAAGATAGGGCATGCACCCCTCTTCATATGGCTGCCAAATCTGTGAACTGGGTTTATTTTTCATTGAGAAGAAAGGGGCATGGTTATGCTGACAAGTTGGGGTATAGGTTGGCATGGTGCTTAAGTGAATTTGGCATACAGAATTCCTTTTTGATCTAGATATGATTATGTGTCATACTGACTTTTTTTTCTTTAAGCGTTAACATTTAGTTGGAGAATGTAACTTTTAGTCATGTTTTATTGAAGAGATCAAAGTTTCAATATCCTCACTTAAAAGTTAAGTGTTTACTTTGGTGGGGGAATATTATGTTTTGGTCCCTGCAGTCTGGATTGGTATAGGAGAAAGTAGCAGAAAGTGACATTTGTTCTTGCCTGTAAGTTTGTGGTTCTGCTAGGCCCTCTTAAACCAATCCATATGGTTCACTCTAAGAAAAAAAAATGAAGAAACGAAAACATCAACAAGAGCGAGCACCACTCATAACATAGTATGTGCTCAATGTGTTGAAATAGTAAGGCCATTTCACAGATATATCTGCCCTTTTATTTAAAATGAAGATTCTTAAGTATGGAAGACTAAATGACCCAGGGCTTGATAGCCATCTTCATCCAAGTCATCTGTCTTCTCTTGCTGGCAGGAGGGATACCTCTGAAAGTCTGGATTGGCATAGCATGAACTAGCAGAACCATAATTTACAGGTAACAACAAATTTACCTTCCAGACTCAGGACGCGAGGTGCACCTCAGGCTCCTCCCAAACAAAGAAGGTCTGCTCCACCACTTCCTGCTCCAGGGCCACTCGTGAGGGCTATCTGGGAGCGACAATCCTTCCCTGCAAGGTAAGCTGTCATCAGGTCCTGCAGGACACGGCCAAACCAAATGCTGAGGGGTCCCCAACATAAATGTATGATAACCTCCACCTGACTGGCTGAATAGAAGAAAGTAACTGGGTGGGAAGTCTTACACTCTGCACTTCAACAACATTCCCAGGTGGTCCATAGAGCAGATGGCTAGTATTCAGACTCTCAAAGGGCTGACTCGTCACACACACATGCACGCACGCACGCACGCACGCACAAACGACGCTTTACAGCAGAAACAAATTTCCCTCTGCAGAGTTGCCAATCTATCTGTAACTTTTGATAAACACACAAACTTTGATATTAACCAAGAGTATAAGTGGGCAGAAGTTAGGCTTGAAGTTGTGTGAAGAACCAGGAAAGAATTTGTCCCAACAATAAGGCAAATGTATTAAAAGCTGCCATTAAAGCACCTTAAAATTACATAGGCATATGATTACTAAGGCTCATCTAGCATAAAAAGATGAGGGGAAAAACACTGCAGAACATCCACAAGGAAGAAATCAGAATTCCTAAACATGACTATTGGAGTTGGTTGGAAAAAGAAATGGGGAAAAATTTTTTTCCTTTCTCCAAAGTCCACTCATCTTTTGATCTGATACCAGAATCTACTTCTAGGGGCAACGATAGCAGAGAAATGAGGAGTTCAAGGAGAGAACAAAAAGAAAATGAGACGCTGGGGGTGGAAGTAAAATTCGGGACAAGAGAAGGCTAGGCATATGTTAAAAGACACAGGACGCAGTGGTTACAAATTAGAAAACCATAAAACAGTCCATATTAAAAATATGTATATGAAAAAGTAACATTATGTAAGAATTAGGGAACCTCAATGAAAAAAACAAAAACTTAGGAAACAAGATTTAAAAATAAAAATAATCCAGATTTTAAAATAAAAGGAATTAGTAGGACCAGCACATGGTATAATGGTTATGTCACTGGACTCCCATGTAGTTGACTGTGTTTTGAGTCCTGGACCTGGTGGCTTAAAACTCACACCAGGAACACGTGAGTGTGTGCATAAGATCCAAAGAGAATGGAGAAGGGATCGGGGCGTGGCCATCCCCAGGGCACGATTTCTTACTTTCTGTCTCTCTGGCGAGTGTGTGCACTCTATAACAAAAGTCTCTCTCAAAAAAGGGGGCATTATTTATTTATTTATCTATTTATTATTTTTAAAATATTTATTTAAAAAAATTTACTTATTCATTCATTTATTGTAATTTGACCAAAAAGATAGAGAGAGAGGGAAAGTGAGAAAGCAAGTCATCAGGTCTGGAACTCAAACCATGGTCAGTCACATGGGAGTGTCCAGTACCTCAACCACCAGGACACCTGCTGGCCCCTATTATTATTTTTTAAAATTTGACCAGAGAGACAGAAAGAGAGAGGAAAAGTGAGAAAGAGAGCCATCAGGTCCAGGACTCAAATACAGGCAGCCATGTAGGAGTCCAGCAACTTAACCACCACTCCACCGGATGGCCCCTCAAATAATCCAGATTTATTCAGGATTTCTTTCTTTCTGCTGATGTCAGAAACTAATTTAAGCTTTATTTTCATTAGAAATAAAATTCTGCAATCTTGGATGATATACTGAAGAATCTAACTTTAGTTACAATGTAGATAAAGTCTTATTATTTATTTTCAGTCTTCTAGTCATGTGCATATGTGGTCAAGCTAGGGGAAAAATAGCTTTACTTGACAAAGATTATTTATTAATAAACACATACTTGAGAAATACTAGGTTGTCAAAAAAGTCATGACTCATTTTTCTATTTCTTTTTTTTTTTACATGGAAAAATATGTCATGACTTTTCTGACAACCTAATAATCACAAGTTTTACTATAAAGTACTTTTTGGGTCAGCTTGTGCTGCGGTGGTTAAAGTAGCTGGAATTCAGGAACCATCAGGTGGTGTAATGGCTATGTCGCTGGACTCCCGTGGTTCGAGTCCGGGACCCGGTGGCTTAAACTGTGTGTGCCCAAGATCCTGAGAGGAGAAGGGATTGTGGCGTGGCCATCCTCCCTGGGGGTTGATTTCTCGCTTTCTGTCTTTCTCTGTCTTTCTGGTGAGTATATACGTGCCCTATAGCAAAAACCTTCTCCCCCCACTCCCCCAAAAAAGTAGCTGTAATTTATATGGCCAACTGTAGCAGCTTGAGAGATGTACCAGGCAAATTCACGTGTGCCTAAAATTCTGAAAGGAGGGGGAGGTGGAGGAGAAGGGATTATGGCATGACCATTTCCTACAGGGGTGCTTTCTCTCTCTCTGGTGAGCACAAATGTCCTCTGGCAAAATTAAACCACCTCCCAAATAAGATAAACTACAGTATATACACAAACAAAATGTCATTTGCTCTTTTCTCCTTAAAACCTGTATGTGATACA